GATGGGGCAGCCACAGCTTCTCTGGGCAACCTGTGCCAGGGCCTCCCCACCCTCACAGGGAAGAATTTTTCCCTCATCTCTAATTTGAACCTAATCTTTTTCAGTTTGAAGCTGTTCCCCCTCGTCCTGTCACTACCTGCTCTTGTAAAAAGCCTCTCTTCATCTTTCTTGTAGGCTCCCTTTAGGTACTGGGAGACCAAAATTAGGTCATCCCAAAGCCTTCTCTTTTATATAATGGCATATAAGGAAGAAACTGTAATTTAGATGAATGTTTAGTTCCCTCCTCTATCTCAGGTCATGAGGTAACAAATCAAGACATGAAGAAGTTACTCCTTCCACATACCTTATCCACAAAACAGTTCATTTGCTCCAACAGCAAAAACCTCCAACAAACACAAACACAGCCAGCTAAGAACCCCAGTTTAAGGTGTTTACACTTAATCCAGTAAAAGTTGTCAGGAATGCATTAGGGACATGCACAAATGGTGCCTCACTGTCAGATCAATGGGTAGGGAAGACCAAGATCAAATGTTCTTACATCAACAGAGCTGGATTGAAGCGACAGCACCTGCCCACAGCTGGCTTTAGATCACAGGGAAGCACAAAGCAGTCTCGGTACAATATGTTTAAGTGCTCACCTAGGAATCAGAGCTTTGGCTTCCTCAGCTGTCTCAGGACACAAGTTAGCCAAACATGCCAATTCAAACTTATGGAGCTTCTTCTGGAGCAGCAAACTGTAAGAAAGACAACAAATTCGTGAAATTGCAAAACAGAAATATAAAAGGGCATAAACTAAACCAAATAAAAGGGCATAAACTAAACCAAATGGATATCTTTTTTCACGCTGCTTTTGGCACTGAAGTTAGGTTTTTTCAGGAGGAAATACTCATTATATAATTGCATAGAGGAATAAAAAAAGTCCCATCTGCTAAATCCACTTACCCTGAATTACGCTGCAAAGTCTAGAAAATCCTCCCATTTAATGTAGTCAGCTATCACTGAAATACTGAAAACAAAGCAGTTCACAAGGCTTAACCTGGACAAAATACAACCTACCGTCAAGAATTATGATCAGATTTCCTGCCTCTTCAGAAAGAATTAAAGAACAAAGCAGGAAACACCACTAAACTGTACTTTCATAAAGCAGCATCAACATTATTCATAGATCAAACTCTCCAGTAAGTGTTATTCCCTGTCCTTCCCGCTCACCTGCGCACACTGGCGATGGTTTCCCGGTTTTTAAAGCGGCTGAAGCGCGCTGTGTAATTCAAGGTTTTCATGAAGACTTCTGACAGCTCCTGCTCATCCTCTGCACTCTCGTTCTGCTGCTTACGATGCTCGAGCAGCATGTGCACCTCTGAGTTCAGAAGAGTCTCTGCAGTTTCAAATTCTGCAGCCGAATGAGAGAACGCCGGCACCAAAGGGGAAGCACAGGTGAAAAGGAGAGTTACGGAAATTTTGCACAAAAATCTAGCTCTGGGCAATAAAGAAGTGAACAACGTGTTTTATGGCAGTTGTGCGAGCCCTTTCACCAATGACTGGGCAGCATTTCATACCGAAAATGCTGATAAAAATTACGCCACTTCGAGTGACAATCTGAGGTGTTCGTCTTTTGATCTCATATTTTACACTTACGGCCCTAACATGATTTTTCACAGTTTTTCTGAAATGCTTCAGAAAAAAAAATTTAGAAAATTTAGAACTGTAATACCCAAAACTGTAATACCTGTGGCCTTCAGAAACCTCTGATTTATTGAAATAAATACAGATGTTTTGAGTATTTTAAAAAAGGTTTCGTTTACTTATAATGTTAATTGACCTACTCCAATTTTATTATCAGAAAAAAACTTTTAACCAACCTTAACAGATTCCCCCCCCTTTTTAACCAGCTTTGTTTTCATTCATCATCACCATAACCACTATATTTGTTCCAATAATAACAAGGTCTTTCAATATCAGCAGTATGAGCTGTTCAAAAGCAGCAGTGTCAAAGGCTGCATCCCAGGGTGCAGATACAGGGCAGTGCTAGAAAAGGACTGGCAAACCATATTTTGCATTGAGCAGTAAGTTAGCTTAGGCTGAGCATGAGTAGGCTATAGATTTTAGTATTCAAGAATACAAAAAACCCCAGTCTTTCAGGGCTACGCTTTTGTTCATAACTCAAAAATGCAGCACAGTGCCCATTTTTCTTTATTTTTTTTTCTTTTTCTTTTCCAGGGTGGCTTGGAGGTGTAAATACACCTCTGGAATTTAAAATGAACAGTTTTCTGAAAAAAATACACAGACCGTGAGAGTCTGTGGTTACCAACTCTGTCTCCGGAAAGCTTGTTTCCTAAATGCAGTAGTATTCATAGAATCCCAGAATGGTTTGGGTTGGAAGGGACCTTAAAGCTCATCTCATTCCACCCCTCTGCCATGGGCAGGGACACCTTCCACTATCCCAGGTTGCTCCAAGGCTTGGACACTTCCAGGGATGGAGCAGCCACAGCTTCTCTGGGCAACCTGTGCCAGGGCCTCGTCACCGTCACAGGAAGAATTCGTATGATGAGGAGCATCAGTGAAAAAGCAAGGGTTATACCAAAATGTAAGGAGCTTTTCACTGCAGCCTGATAGGAATTTTTTTTTTTAAATCCTGTACATACACACAGTGGCCCACATAAGAACTGCCACATCCTAGCAACCACGAGGTCCTTAAACGTATATAAATGATTTATTATCACGCTTCTTAAGACTCGGGGCTCTGTACCCGGCGGAGGAGAGTCAGGGGCGTGAGCAGCGCTCCCATCCCACTGAGCTGCCCGGCCAGGCTCGTTCCCTCACAGGAGGCCGCCGCCAGCTCCGACCCCCGGCCGGCCCGGCGCCCCGACCCCCGCCCGCACCTTTGGGGAAGACGAGCTGCGAGGCGTCCTCCTCCACGTCCGCCGCCCGCGGGTCGCTGCCGCCCGCCGCCATCGCCGGAAACCCGCAGCGGAAGGACCGCTCCGCCGAGGAAGGGCGGCCCTGCCGTGTGAGGGGCGGGCGGAGGCCGGTTCTCCGCGGTGTGAGGGGCGGGCGGAGGCCGGTTCTCCGCGGTGTGAGGGGCGGGCGGAGGCCGGTTCTCCGCGGTGTGAGGGGCGGCTCCGCCCGTCTGAGGGGCAGCGTGTGGCTTTGCCCGGTGTGAGGGGCGGGGGGAGGCTGGTTCTCTACTGTTTGAGGGGCAGGGGGAAGTTGGTTCTCCCCGGTTTGAAGGGCGGCTCCGCCCGTCTGAGGGGCAGCGTGTGGCTTTGCCCGGTGTGAGGGGCGGGGGGAGGCTGGTTCTCTACTGTTTGAGGGGCAGGGGGAAGTTGGTTCTCCCCGGTTTGAAGGGCGGCTCCGCCCGTCTGAGGGGCAGCGTGTGGCTTTGCCCGGTGTGAGGGGCGGGGGGAGGCCGGTTCTCCGCGGTGTGAGGGGCGGGGGGAGGCCGGTTCTCCCCGCTGTGAGGGGCGGCTCTGCCCGTCTGAGCTCAACCTGTGGCTTTGCCCCGCGTGAGGGGCGGGGGGAGGCTCGTTCTCCCCGGTGCGAGAGGCGGCTCCGCCCGTCTGAAGGACAGTGTGTGGTTTTGCTGGTTCTCCCCGCTGTGAGGGGCCGAGGGTCCGTTCTACCCCGAGCACTGCCGAATAGAAAAAAGCGGAGTTGCCGCTGTGGAGAACCGAGGGGAAACAGCGGGGACAGGGCGCCTAAGCAGCGCCCCCCCTTCCCCCAGGAAGCAGCCCTCAGAGGTGTGTTTAAGCTCGCTTAGCAATGAGCTCCTTTCAGAGAAGGAAAGAGCTGGGGTGCTGAGCGTTGTTTATGTGAACACGGGCAAATAGCTGTGGCAGATGAAGACATCATCGGACCAAGACTCTCCAGCTCCCTGACAGGAGGTTGTAGCCGGGTGGGGATCGGCTGCTTCTCCCAGGCAGCCACGGACAGGATGAGGGGACGTGGTCTTAAGCTGCGCCAGGAGAGGAGGTTTAGGTTGGACATTGGGAAGAAATTCCTCACAGAAGGGATGATTAGGCATTGGAATGGGCTGCCCAGGGAGGTGGTGGAGTCACTGTCCCTGGAGGTGTTTAAGGACAGCCTGGACATGGGCCCCAGTGCCACGGTCTAGTTACAGGTCGGACTCGATGATCACAAAGGTCTTTTCCAACCCAATTGATTCTGTGATCATGAGCCCAGAATCTTCAAGGCACAAACCAGGGCCCGAGAGAGGGATGTGGAGGAACACGGAGGGAAACAGTGCTTGTCCTTCGCATGAGCAAACCCTTCTCCTTCTGCTCTGTCCTTTAGGAAATAACCAAAGAGCTCAAAACTGCTCTGGTCCCCCTCCCCAGACTGCACAGCAGCACCCATTTGCCCAGGACCACCCGAGGGCACCAAGGCAGCAGATACATCTTCACATCAGTGGATCAGTGAGCTACAGCTTGCTCTGTTTTGCCACCAGAACATCCTCCAGCTAGACAGCAAAGCCCAGCCTTAGGAAAACTGTGACTGTCTGTGCCAGAACTTCTGTCTAGCTCACTGTGATTAATAGACCTCGGTCTATAATGAACGAGTATTGATATCATAACACACTTCCTAAGGAAGGTGCTTTTTCAGACTATCCAGAAGCAATCTACAGACCCCTAAAAGTTATAGGCAGGCTGAAAATGGAGATAGTTCTCCCAGCACTGCCAACAAAATAACTTATGGAGTAGTGTTTTCCCTGGAGAGCTCACATGTAAGTGCCTAACCAGTCTAAGACTCTTAAAGTAATCATCTTATCAGCCCTTACTATGTCATGCTGCGCCCCTAAAGAAAGGCAAAAATAGACTGTTGGAGGATTTATGATGAAACCACTCCTGTTCTCCTGAACTGCATCTGTGCCTAGGTGAACCGCTGGGAAAAGGAATGCATTAAAAATAAACTATAGGAATATGAAGAGGTCAAATAATAGATTTCTAATATTTGTTATCTGGATAATGAGCATAGCAGAGAAACTGAATGGAAAGTAATTTGCTAAGTGGTACAAGCAGAAAGACATCCAGTAAGAAATGGAATGGAAGTGTCTTGGGGAACATCTGGCAAATTAAACAATTTCAATTAGGTTTACAAGAAAGCAAGGAAATCCATGCCAGATTGACCAGAGAAGCATTTAACATCATTTGGAATCCTGACTCAAATAACCCATCAACTCAGAACATCATGATTCTCAGAGCAGTAGGTAGCTCACTGAGGTTTAAGTTACTAATTTCCCTGTTGGGTTTTCCCCCAGGGATCCATTCTACTCAAATATACAAAAACTAAATCAAGAGAGGCAGATTCTTGCAAGAGTTTATAGATACAGTTTAAGAGGCTATCATAAAAGATTAAATCCATTATCACTGATGTGTTTTGTTTTTTAAGAATTTAAAAGAATGAACTTATAAACTCCACAGGAAGTATTGTTCAGCTGCTGCAAGAAACCAAACATAGCAGAGTACCTGACTTTTTTGTTATTGTTAAAATGCTCTGGCTTTTCCCTCACTAATAATGACTGTTTCAGCATTTGTCAACAAAATACACATAGAAAAGGAAGATGAGCTTGATTAAAATAAAGACTATAGGAACTTTTGAGCAGCTTTAGTGGCCACATCCTAAATTAAGCTGATTGAAAAAAAAAAAGACTACTTGGCCAGATGTAATTTATCATGAATAGAGCCTCTAACATTCCATATTCCAGGGCCAAAAGCATTGATCCTTGCTGGAGACATGTTATTAGGTAGTAGATTGTTGGACAGACCTATTATGGTAATTTCTACGTTGCTATAGTTTAAACACAGAGCCTGTAAACACTAATTGCAGCTCCACAGATCTAACAAAATACTCAGCTAAATACCTCCATGTAATCAAATGTAGGAAGAGCTAATAACAAGGATATTCTATTATTAGCATAAACCTACTTTGTAATATGCTTTCCTTCTAATCCAGCAGCAGAAGAAATGTGATTTTCCTAGCCGTTTTTTAAGTTTTCAAACAGTAATTCCACATTTTCTGTGGAATGCCAGTGTGATCCTTGTGGAGATAACCACCCACTGAGAGCACTGTGTGCCACAGTAGCCAGTATTGCACAAGACATGTGTGATTTTCATTTGTGTTCTTAAAGTATAACTCTTCAGGTTTAGGTTTTCACACCATTTTGCCTTTATTTTTACTCCATTTAAAAGTATATCTCCAAAACCATAAGGAATGAATATGAGCAAAGTAAAATTATATTAATATCCAGTAATGAAGTCACAGTAAGCCTCTGAATGCAACACTGCATGATCTGTTCAGTTTTTAAATACATGTGTGACATCTAGACATACTATCAACTGGTTGTATCATGCATGATTTCTGCCAGAATTAATCTGATTATAAGAGCAGTCTAGCTGACTACAGAAAAGAAAAAAAAATATGGTTCAATAATCTGGATATTGTTCATTTTGCAGAAGTATGTACTTGTTTTAAGGAACAGGGTAACAGCACTCTTCTGTGCTTTCTGTGTTTTCTTAGTGATATCAAACAGACACACAAGTCATCTTTTCCCAGACCATGGGAAAACCAGCTTAGGAACTTTCCTATGGTACTGCTCTATGTACTGTCAGTATAAATATTGACTTACTGGGTCTCATGGGAAAGTTTTCATTTTTTTTTTCTGGTTTTCATTTTTGTCTTTAAGAAGTGGCATTTCTCAATCACAGGTAAAATAAAATTCTTTTTTTTGTGTGTGTTTAGAATAAAAATGCTCAAGTATTCTTCATTTGAAGTGTCTTGTAGATATTCCTCCTAAGCTGTCTTTAATTTTGTTCTAGAAAGGAGTGAGTGCCAAATGAGTAATTAATTTTGTTTCTTATTTCAAACAGGAGTAACAACAGAACAAAGTGTTTCCGGGAGAATTATCCTGATTTATATTTAGCCTGGATTGACCTATTTCAGCGTGCAGTCATATGTACACCCTTCTACCTGGCCCCATCCTCCCTGTGAGCTGCTGAGTGAGTGTTCCTGTGGTCACAGAATGCAACAGGCACGGAGGAACCTCTAATGAAAGACACCAGACAAAGATTTTATGGCTGACTGATTCAATAGGAAACCAAAAAAATCAAGTAAGGAAAAGCATATGACACAAAAATGTACAAAAAGTCAATGTATTCCTGACAACAAAGCTGTCAGGAATATGCCTGATAACTTCCCTGGACACATGATGGCAGTGATATGGGTAACTTCAGAAATAAAAAGGAAATCACCTGGAAATCACATTAGCCCCAGAGTCCTCCTCAACCCCTCCTCACATTGCCTGGGGGATGTGCTTTTTGTCCTGGTTAGGCTCGGCAGTATATTTTCTGATTTTTGCTTTGTAGTTGTGCTGAGGTCAACAAGCTTCTCAGGCATATTTAAGTCAAAACTTGGTCAAAACCAAACCCCTTGGTTTGGTTGGTGTTTACTTTATGACTGTTCATTGACATCCAGGGCTGCCCTTCCCAAGAGCCACAAGCAGAAAATGTAGGATCTCCAACTATACATCTGCCACAGATAAAAAGTTAACAATAACCTGACAGGGTGTGGAAAAAATCAGGTAAACCAGAGGCATAATTCAAAACTATTCCACAAATCAGTTAATCCTGTCCCCAAACAAACATTCAAATTGTAAGAATCCAGAAAGATGTAGGTGTTTCTTCTGAAATAATATTTTTAGATTAAGACTAATTTTTAGATTTTTTTAGATTAATTTTTTTAGATTAAGACTAGATTTTAAGACTACAGCCTCAGAGTAGAGGCAATCTGTTCTCATTAGTTCCTTTTAGAAGACAAAAACAATTTTGATGGTTTCAGACATATTTAGAGTACTCTGTACGTATGTGCTTTATATATGTCATGGCAAACCATCATGATAGAAGGTTATTGTCAAGCAAACATTATTTCAGGATACAGAGACACTGCTATGCCGTTATTAATGAAACATATTTAGTAGTTGGTTTTAATTTTCCTTCTGTTTTAGCTTGCTTCCTTCTAGAGAGCCTGTCTGACTGTTTCTGTGCCTCCAGACAGCTGCCATCCCACTCTGGCAACCTCCCTGGTCTTGAACATTCAGACCTGTAATATATTGTTTGTCTTTCTGGATGAGAATGATTTCATCTTATCCCCCGTAAAGGCTGTGAGAACCCACATAAAGAGGACAGTACAAATCATCTTTATCTATTATGATTTATTCTCTACAATACTTCATTAGAGGATAGAGTTCAATTATTTACACTCAGAAGTTATTATATAGGTAGGAGGCAACCAAGTGTAATACAAAGAGTTGGTCTGACATCTCTGCACTGAAGGTCAAAAGAGGTCTCCTGCTTTAAGGAAATAAATTAACCAAAAAAAACCCAACAAAACAACATGTAGTTTCCAGAATACAAAAAGAAAAACAGCACTAATGGTCAGTGAAGATTGCAGAGGTTTGTTAATGTACTATGAAAACAAATTATTCTGTGCAAAGGTTAAAATGAACTCTTAGATTTCCTTATAGATTTTTTTTTGTTCTGATAAATTGTAGATATGTGATATTTTGACTACAAAACGTTCCCAAACTGAAATGGCCTCAGTTGAGGTTGACTGTTGAACAATACAAAAAAATAAAATTAAGAACCTCACAGTGGAAACATTCCAACACTGACAGACTCCAGTGATCAAAGACATTCTCCTGTAGTTACTGTAAAACAAAGACATTTCATCATTGCAGTGAGATTATTTCTCAGTTGTGGTTGTCATGAGAATAAGCCCTTCTAGACCAAAAGGCACTTGCTTCTAAGGATGAGTTAATCCAGATCTAACCAGGTAACAGCTGCTTTGAGGAGTAGTTCTAACCTGCTGTCCCCAGCCAAGCAACCACTCGTAGCAGTTGGTCACTGATTTTGGTTGCCTTCATCTTGAGACAACTCAAAGTACATTTTGTTTCTAGTTCACCTCTTTCATCCTTATGCATAGCTGCCGTGTAATGATCTAGAAATGGGATTATTTCCTGAGACCACCTGTCCTTGTCATACATTTCTCTGAGCTAACTTAGCTACTGACACAGTTTTCAACTGATTTTATAGCTGGACCCTTATGGGACAAAAGCTGGGAGGGCCTGTTCCTTAGGCAGCAGACCAGTGTTTTCTGACCTGCCAGCTTCTCTTCTCACTGCAACAAGACAAGAACACAGTACATATTCAGAGGCATTTTTGTTTTTGTTTTTTTAAACAGACTGAGTGGGGAAATAGAAGTGGGAGAGGATAAGACTTCCCCAGTCCCAAACCATCTGTCCCACTTCAGGCTTAAACCAACCAAGTCACTCAATCCTAAAATTCCGTTCTTTAAAAAAATTACAGCTAACCCTCCCCACCCCACCCCTTAGTCATCCCTAGTCAAAGAAACTGAAATCAGGAAAACACTATACACTGTTGAAGACACAGAACAGGGCAAACATCTGAAAAAGAAACAGTATAGTTGAAAAGCCTGGCACTGTACGCCTGCATGACCAGTCTCACCGAGCGTGCTCAGGGGTGAAGTTTTAGCACCATTTTTTTGCTTTTTTTAAACCTTTTAGAAATTAAATTCTAACATAGAACACTTGAACAGTAATGAGTGTAGCCCTATGTATCATACTGTTTGACAGCTGAAAGGTAAGTGGTATGTCCAGAGCTGACCCCACCCTCCCCCATCACTACAGGGCACCTGGGAGAGTAATTACAAACTGGAGTGGTTTGTAACAAGACCAGTTTATTCTCAGCAGCAGGAAGTTATGAACAATCCCTTCATCTTCAATTGCTTTCCAACAACACCACAAGGGAAAAGTGGCAATTTGTAAGAATGACCCAGTGCAGGGCGAAAGCTGGGTCGATACTGCACCGTTAGCCAGAGTAACCGCCCTCACAACTCTCTCTCCAGCAGAATGTTACACCAACACAAAGCAAAACTGCACAGTTGTGCGTTGCTTCCTTAGGACCAGGAGCAGCAGCCTGCAGTTCTTAGCTTCCCACCAGCCCTATTCCCTGCCGTGCCAGGGCAGAGTTTCAGGCTTCAAACACCAGCCAATTACCCCACGCAAGCAGGCTCTGAAGATACGTGCAACCAAACAGCCATGACTCTCCTGTGCACTTGTATCTGCTTTCCCAGTCGTTACAGACCCTCCAGAAACTTGGAAAACAAACCAACCAACACCACCCCAAACTATATTCTGAAGTCCAGTTACCTTATTGAGAGAGTGTCATAATTTAGAGTTCTTGACATCCTCAATGATGCTGCAGAATAACAATGGGTAACTCAACTCCCTCTTAGAAGAGAGTATTTCTTGTGATCATCAACCATGGGAGAAGAAATACAGAATGCACACGAGTTTCACCCAGTTTGGGTAGTAGAGGTTCCCCACTCACTGCCTTGCTGTGGTACGACTGAGCTGATAGATCTTAGCAGTGGAACTCCACACCTCTGTTCCATAGGCCTGCTACGAACTGGAACAGTTCCTGCCCTGAAGATCAGTAGTCACACTGGAGAAAGTGGCTGTCCTAGCAATAGGAAGGTCCCCAAGACAGTTAGCTTAAATTAAACAAATTTCAGTCACTAGTCTCATTGTATGACTACAGTTAGTGCCATGCAAACCCCTCCCCAGCCCTAATCCAATCTGCTACGAATATTTGGAAACAAAACTTGGTCTTAACAGACTGTCCAGGGATACACAAGTACCTTTTCCTCTCCATACACAGCACGTGCCATGTTGCTCTCTGACAGGCACAACAGCATGCTGTTTCATAGCAGGCTTCATCACCGAGCTCTGTCTGAAAACCCAGAGAACTGTAAACCAAGAGAATTTCTAAAGAATTCGACCTACCAAGGATCTGAGCCTTAAAGCCTTCTAGGGTTTATTTAAATAATGGATTCGTTTTTCACATCTCTAAGTGTTTTCTGTTGGTGAGGATGGGGTGCCATCCAGGTGTTCGACCCTCCCCAGTATCATGATGTCCACCCGTGATGCGTGGGGACTGCAATCAGCTCTCAGTACACAACAGATACCGGAGTTAAAAAAATTAAAAAGAACCTAAAAAATGTTTTGTTGGACTCCGTTGCCCAGGCTGCCAGGGGAATGCTCCTACTTGATCTGGGGGGCTTCCATAACAAGCAACTCAAGTTTCCACAGTGTCAGTAACACCCAGGAATGGATCAGTCTGAAGCAGCACTTTCACTCCGAGAGGTCTTCTGCACCTCACGACAGTTCGTAGGCATGGAGCCCCAATCCAACTGAACCCCCACTCAGAGGGAAGGCTGAGATAAGGCTTGGGCCCCTGAAGTCCTGTCACGCTCTCATTCTCCCCCCAGGTCAGCAGGAAGGCAGACTTGGCAACGGAAGCTAGCATCATAAAATGGTGCAGTAATAGAAGTAACTGGACCAGGAAGAGGAGGCGTCTGCCCCAATGATATCGTAGCCGTTGGCAGCAACCGGGGAGTGGGACTGGTCATGCAGCCGTGTGTCAGGAGTAATGATTGTAGAGGGGGGGGGCATGAAGAGTGCCATTCTGGAAACAATGCTGGCGGGAGGCCATGTACTCTGCATAACTGATTGTCACCTTCTCGCTGCGGTACCTGCGGGAACAGCGTCAGAAAATACCGTCAGCACACCCGGAGGGACTGAACAAAACCCATCCATCACTGCACCCTTCAGCCAGTGATGGACAAGAGGAGTGCACTGCCTTTGGTGCTGCCTCATGCAGCAGTCTCAATAACCCATCTGAGCTTGAATTAGCTTCAGTGTCCCAAAAGCTGAGCCCTAGTCAAGGTGATCGTAACTAAGGGATGCCTGAAGTAGCACACATGAAACAAATTATCAATTTGTATTCTTTTTTATCCACTTGCAGGGGGCAAAAATGGCATGAAAAGTTTGCTGGAAGAAGACTCAATGGCTAAATAATCAGTATTTCACTATTGTTTACTACTGTGGTTATCTTCACATTTGAAAGGCTAGTGAAAAAAAATGATGGAGAGGTGTGTAAAGAAAGGTTAGTTATACCATATAAGTGACAGTCTGTGTTGTAAAATCAGAATTCACAAAATTTGAAATTCCTTTAGAGATCAGAGTTTTCCAGGTTTTTCTAAAGCACACTACACAACAGATAAACAAAGTGGTTGTGAGTTCCACTAAGACCAGATTTTAACGAAAACCTTCGTCCTGTCCTCTTCTGTTAAAAAAAACCCTGCACACCCAACTCATTTCTCCAGAGGTAAGAAACGACCTGATAAATTAATGTTTCTATACAAAACCAGAATGTCCCAATTTTTACTAACATAAAGGGAGCAGAAACCAATAAGACAGCTGGGGGTATAGAAAAGCAAGCAAATTCTGAAAGCCAGCCAAATTCAAGTGTGGTTTGAAGACAGCTGTCGCCTACAAATAGCTCCAGCATCCACAGATGACCACACTGAGAAAAGGAAGTTCATTGAAAAGATACTGAAAAATCAACCTTTTTAACTTTCAAAGGTTCTGCTTCTGATCTTTCACACAGATGGTAATATTAAAACCAGTGACCCTTCTCTCAGAAAATGCCAACTTTGATCCTGCCTGGACCAAACATACTGCGCTTCATCCCATTACACGTGGCATTTCTGGTTTGGTCTTTCACATTACATGTCTCATCTGAAAGAGGCTGAAGACTTACATCAAGCACAAATACTTTAAATTATCCACAAAACGCTATAAAGCAAAATTAAAAGACGACAAATACATCAACTTACCTGGTGAGTTTAATTGTTTTCCTAAAATCATTGGTAATTGGAGCCTTAAAGCCACCTTTCCTGAGTAAGGAGTCTATGGTCTGGATCTGATCCCAGTCTATTGAAAAACAGAAGTAAGGGAAATTTTTCAATATAAAAAAGATGTTTCAGAAACATAAGAGATGCATTAAAAGGCCTCTAGAAAAGCAAATGACTAAACAGGAAACTGAGCTTTGGAAATCCCAGTGCTGAACTGGACATACATGGCCTGATGCATGTACACTATCTGCACATGCCAACCCCTTTTAATTCCTACTGGAGCTGGTCTATGAAACAGTAA